TTTACAGACCTATAGACCGTTATAGACCTGTTTATAGACCTTTAAAAACCTGCATATAGACCTTTACAGACCTATAGACCGTTATAGACCTGCTTATAGACCTTTACAGACCTATAGACCTTTATAGACCTGCATATACACCTTTACAGACCGATAGACCTTTACAGACCTGCATATAGACCTTTACAGACCTATAGACCTTTATAGACCTGCATTTAGACCTTTACAGACCTATAGACCTGTTTATAGACCTTTAAAAACCTGCATATAGACCTTTACAGACCTATAAACCTTTATAGACCTGCATATAGACCTTTACAGACCAATAAACCTTTATAGACCTGTTTATACATAGACCTTTAAAAACCTGCATATAGACCTTTACAGACCTATAGACCTTTATAGACTTGCGCATCACCCACCACCTTTATGGACAGTTTTAGACCTAAATAATTTTTGGTTAAGAAATTACAAAGTTGTAGCAGCTTCAGTAACATCTTGAGAAAATACTTAAATGTGGTCTCATGTGAGATAAGTACATGTCATGACTGCGTGTGGTCCCACTAAGCAGTAAACAGCTGATAGTGCTACTAATTGTTTTGTTTAGCAGATTAGCTTTTTCACTAACTTTGAAACAATTAGAGGATTAATTAGCTTCCGCTAAATGATATTTTGCTAATTTTAAGTCCACTAGCAGCTAACTAAAAAACTAACATCAAGAGTGTGATCCAGACTGAGTGACAGTCATCTTAGCGGTTAGCTGTTAGTGTTAGCTTCAATTAAGTTTTACTCGGTTAGCATTAGCTTCTGCTAACAATTTTACATGTTTAGCATTAATGAAGTTATATTTTTAGTTGGCAGATTATGAGTTAGCAAAGCTAACTTTTTGATTTGTTGTATCCACCACTGACTCACCTACTACCACACCAGATTATAGCTCAAAATCCATCAAACTGACTGATTTGTGTTTTTGGATTATGGCAATTAGATTTGGCGGCCATCTTGAAGTTATTCTGTTTTGTTGCGAGGCCCCTCTCTGCTGGGGGCAGGGCTTAATGACGTAATGCATCAATTTTGATGTCACCACATGTTGAATCCACACTCACATATTTACTCTGAAAATGTCCTCAGAATTCAACGATGGGCTCAGGAGATATTTTGCTAACAGTAAAACACAGGGTTCGCTCCAGCTAATGCCGACATTTTAAAAAGCAGAGGTTCTCAAACTGGGGTCCACCAGAGGTATCTTGGGGGTCCTCAAAAAATTTCACTAAATTGTTGATTTGGTTTTTATTTTTTAAAATGTGTGGAGAACAATGAACTAATAAAACAAACATAATAAACTTAATAAAAATATATATTACCATGGTATTTAGGGGTTAAAATTACAATAAATTATATTTTCAAACAGCACGGGGTTTATGAGGGGGTCCCTGGAATTTTTTTTGCCCTTGTAAGGGGTCCGCAGACCTAAAACGTTTAAGAACCTCTGTTTTAAATTATGTCGAGCTTTTTATTTGGTGGGAATGCCTCTGAACCACAACAAGTTTTAACCCAGTATCTGTAAAAATAGACTAAATAAGTCATTTTTATGTTTTCTGGGTTCAGTTAGCTCCGCTGTGGCAGCCATCTTGAACTGAATAAATTATTCTGCACAATCTGTGAGCCCTCAGGACATCTGCTGGGGGTCAGTCTCAGCTACTACCACCAAATGTTACCTGCAAAACTGAGTTATAGTCAGTTTTGTAGTGGTGTCCATGGAATCAGTCTGACTCTGAAGGTAAATCAGTTGTAGATAAACATCACTTTTTGTCCGGTGGTTCAGGAGACACAAACAAACCACCCACCTAATGTCTTTTAATGCAGGAGCAGAGACGAAGCCAGCAGCACGGATGAATATTGTTTAAAGTCACTGTTGGATCAACTTTAGGTGGTTGTGTTGGATAACCACTGAATTTTGTTTTGATTCTGCAAATCTGATCAACAATGAAAAAGCAACATCATTTGTACATCGTGCTTTTCCACACAGGTGATTTTGCCAACATTAAATTAATACTGTTTTTAGTGTAAATGTTATTATTAAATCCTCCCTTTTAACATAGTTTGACACATAAACGTATTACTTTGATCACTGTTTTAACTTCAGTATTGATGTGCTGAACCATATCAAAGTAATACATTTCTGTGTCAAACAATGTTAAAAAGCAAAACTTAATTTTTTTAATTTCCACAATGATTACATTTGAAAAATGTATACTAAAATCAGTAAATGTTGGCAAATTCATCTGTGAAATATGATGTAGAAAGGATGTTACTATTGTGATGTTGATTTGCAAAATCAAAACCAAATTCAATGATTATCCAACACAACATGTTGATTGATCAGTGCCTCAGCTGTGCTGTCATCAGATCAAAACACAACAATGTTGTCAGAGTTATAAGACATGTAGAAACTCCTGAGCAGTGATACACAACTTATTGTGGTCAAATCTGTTTGTAGACTCCTGAAAATAGAAAAAAGACACAAACTTGGACATGAAGAATGAAAGAAAAGACTCACATTGGTCCCACGGCAGACGCAGCTTTGTTTTGCACCTGCTGGTTTTTCCGTTGACACAGAGGAAACTGTGGTTGTTGCTGCTGCTGAGACACAATGTGTGTGTCTGTCAGGTCTGTGTGTGTCTGTCAGGTCTGTGTGTGTCTGTCAGGTCTGTGTGTGTCTGTCAGGTCTGTGTGTGTCTGTCAGGTCTGTGTGTGTGTCTGTCAGGTGTGTGTGTGTGTCTGTCAGGTGTGTGTGTGTGTCTGTCAGGTGTGTGTGTGTCTGTCAGACACTAGAGTATAAAGGTTTGGGCCCTGTGCAGGAGCAGAGGACCCTGGTTGATCAGGACTGAGTGGGGAGAAAACAGCTCCACTCCCTCCCTTGTTTCTGTCAGAAGAATGGCCCTCTGTGTGTGTGTATGTGTGTGTGTGTGTGTGTGTGTGTGTGTGCGTGCGTGCGTGCGTGCGTGCGTGCGTGTGTCACGAAATATTAACAAACACGTCTGGAGTTCAGCTTTTATGGCGACGGAAGTTGAATTTTCCAGAAATTACTTGCTGTTTCCGGTCAGTTCCGCGCGTCTTCCCTTTGTTTCTGTCCTTTTAATTTGTTTACATGTGATTTGTCAGTTTGTTCATCGCGTTAGGTCTCGATATGGCAAGCCGATTTATCATATAATACTCAAATGGACAGAGCAGACAGCAGTTCAAAACTGGACACGGATTTGGACTTTACCAACAGATAATAAATAAATTTAAAAGAAGTGTCATTTAAAATTATTCAGGACGTTTAGCCATTCATAATCTTTCTACAAGGTTTTAAAAAAAAATAAAAATGTAACTCTTGCTCTTTAGCCTACTTATTTTGGTCTTGCCCCTTTGCTACCCAACTAGATAAAATAAATGCATCCTGATTTCTTCCTCTGCTGAACCACATTTCTCTTTGCTTTGAAAACGTATTTGGTTTTACTGACCACCCACTGCCTAAAATATTTAACTAAAAAATTACATCATAATTTTTATACTATGTTTAGCCAAATGGCATATCCATGAATGTCATTACACTAAATAAAAAACACTTATTCACATTTTTTGAAAATGAGGTCAAACAATATATTAAAATAAAAATATTAGACTTTGCACCAATATGAAAGCTATTAAAACCTGTACTTTATGTATTTGTATATGTTATTCTAAATTATTATCTCAATGTTTGTAATCCCCTGGCGGCTGTCATTACTAAATTTGTATTGCACTGTTCTGCTTTGTGTTTCAAATTAAGTGAAAAAAAAATTATATATTTAAACATTTTTTAGACAGTCACAGTCATGGAGACAGAATATGAATTATTAATATTTAGATTTATTTTTTCCAATTTAAACCCTATATTGTAAAAAGTCTATAGCTAGGAGAAAAACTAAGAACCACGTTGAAAAAGTGGTTTAATTATATATAACAACGAGTTGCCATAAAGAGAGGCGAAAGAGAAATGACGTAGCCCGTACTGGTCACGTGACTATCACGGAAGTCAACAAAGTATGCGGAACGAAACATTTTACTGAAGGTTTTTACGGTTTTATTTTAGTTTTTAACACTTCTGGGATGTTTTAGAAACAGAAACGAGCCGTCATGTTAGCGGAATATAATCTTTGTAGCGTTTTAAGGTGAAATGTTTTGTTTATTCCTCTAATAATGGAGGAAAACGAGGGGATTCTGTCCAGCATTAACGTCATCCTGGTGATGGCTTACGGCACTTTGGTGAGTAAAGCGACTGAGAACCGTTTAAAGCAGCGTAAATCTTATCAATATGAATGTTTTTGTTTTGACATTTCCCCATCATAACTGGGTAAATATAAAAATTAGAGAAGCAGAAGTGCACCAGATGAAATCCAGTAAACAGGACTTGTTTTGTAAAACATTTTGTATTAAAACAAAGAAAATTATTTACTTTAATACCTCATTACTGTGTTCTGATGCTTGTTGAAACTTGATATTTTCAGTCCAGACACACCTGTTTGAATATAAATTAGTGTCATACTGAAAGAAATAAAAAATAAAAGGCTCAAAGTGATTTTCTGTCTTCATATAAAATGCTACTTTGATAAAATGTCAACTATATTCATTTAATAGTGATTTAAAATGATGTTTATTGAGCTGAATGCATAAAACTCATTTTAAAAATCTTGTTCAGAAGCTGGATTCTAAACAGACAACATGTCTAAGAAGTGCTAACTGTGACCTTACCTGTCCACACACCTGCAGGTGTTTGTTTTACTCTTCATCTTCGTGAAAAGACAAGTCATGCGTGTTGCCATGAAGGCCAGGAGAGGACAGCACGTGTCTGCTGGACACCACGCTCCGAAGGTGACAGAGCATCCCTCTGTTCGGTTTTATGACCTGTCCTTTGTAAACTTACACAGTCAGAAATTACCAACAATACTTTCATTTATTAACATTTTATAAGAAAAAAAATCAGAATAAAACAGGGGTATATTTCTCACCATGTGATTCAAACATTTATAAAAGCCATAGTTTATAAACTAAACATTAAACGTGCACATTTAATATTTAGTTACAAAACTAAATATTTATTTAAAAAGCTAAATATTTAAGGTCAACTAATTATTTAGTTAAAAAGGTTAATATATATTAGGGCTGCAGAGATACACAAAATTCACAGTTCGGTTCGATACTTTAGTCTCTCGGTTCGATATTTTTTATACAAAACAGAGAAATGTCCATGCCTCTTTTGACTTGTAATTTATTTAAATTAATTATGAACATTTGTTTAACCTCAAAAGTCCAGTTTTTAAATTAAATGTTGCTGAAACAACAAGTTTCTCAGTGGATCTGAGCTCAAAAATACAGCCTAGGTGGAGTAGTCGAACACAGATCCACTGATCCTTCAACACAGAGCATCTTCAGAAGACAAGGTGATAAAATAAATGTTATAAATCTGTATTGTTCCATACAAGTGTGTGTTGAACCTAAAGCACTGTTTGATACGAGTACATGTATTGTTGCAGCCCTAATATTTAGTTACAAAGCTAAATATGTATTTAAAAAGCTAAATAGTAAAGTTGCAATTTAAAAATGTAACTTTGAACTATGACGTTTTTAAATGTATGAATAACAGTGAAAAATAAACCCTGATTTGTTTCCATTATAAAAGGCTAAATAAAGCTAAATATTGCTGGTACTTTTTGACTGTGTAACTTTACAAATGGCAGCCCATTGTTGTAGTTTTTATTTCCTGTGTAAAATGATGTCATCTGTTTGTGACGCAGGAACTGAGACAAGTGATCGAAGCCAAACTGAACCAAGTTCAGAAAATCCACTTTGAGCCTCGTCTGCTGGGTCCAGATGATCCCCGGCTGCAGCTGAGAGACCACTGTGGTTAGAGGAGACCCTCAGACACATCAATACTGCCAACATCTACAGTACTAATGTATGTGTGTGTGTGTGTGTGTGTGTGTAGGCTCCACTGACTACCTGTACAGGATGAAAGCACTGGACGCCATCAGAGACACTGGTAATATTTTCTGTCACCATTGATCATGCTTGTTGTTTATAATGCTGGTTATTAAATTATCTTTAATTATTTTTCTTATTAGACTTTCCTTTTGGTGAACTGGGCGGGGCATCCACGGCTGTGACCGGGAAACGCTTTCGGACCTGGCTGCTGCAGCTTCGGAACTCGCACTGCGCGCTGGGAGATGGTCTGAGGTCCGTCGTGGACACGGTGCTGGACGGCTACAGCAGAGCTCGTCACGGTGCCGAGGTCAGCAAGTTTCCTGTGGGACTATACTTTCAGCAGTCAGGGTTTATAAAGTACTACACAGTGATACTTGAGTAAAAGTACAAGTATCTTATTACCAAAAACTGACTTTGGTAAAAGTTAAAGTCTCCTTTAGGAATATTACTTGAGTAAAAGGGGCGGCTGTGGCAGAGTGGTTAGGGGAGTCGTCCTGGAACCAGAAGGTCGCTGGTTCGATCCCCCGTCCAGCCGTCTCAGTCATTGTGTCCTTGGGCAAGACACTTCACCCACCTTGCCTACTGATGGTGGTCAGAGGGTCCGGTGGCGCCGATGCATGGCAGCCCCACCTCTGYYAGTGTGCCCCAGGGCAGCTGTGGCTACAGTGTAGTTTGCCATCATCAGTGTGTGAATGTGAGTGTGAATGGGTGAATGTCTCTTAGTGTAAAGCGCTTTGGGGTCCGGAGGGACTTGAAAAGCGCTCTATAAGTTCAGTACCATTTACCATTTTACCATTTAAAAGTGTTAAAGTATGTGATATTTGTTGTAGTTAAGTATTAAAAGTCAAAGTATAGATTTAAAATGAGCAGTTAGATTTTCTGTAAGGACATTTATTAGGAGGTGACCTCCCCAAAAACTGCAGAAATGACTGTTGTATTAAAAGAATGAATGGATGTTAAATTTAGGATGCACTAGTCCAGCTGTTTCAGTTTATATACATATATCAAGGCTGCACAAAGCTTTTCCCCAAAATGAAAATCTATCTGAGGGCTGCGGCCAAATGTAAGAATATAATTCATGAAATACAAATACTTCTTAAGTACAGTCCTTTTATTTGAATGATTCTGTCCTGCTGGAGTGTGACATGATTTGTTTGTGTACAAACTAATACACTATCAGAGTTTTATATATTTATACTTCTCATTCAACCACAGTTAAATTCACTCTATCTAGGAGGCTCAGTTTATATGATAGTTTTTATTTTTTACAATAACAAGCTGCAATGAAAACAAGCAGAAATGAAATAAAAGTAACAACTTTATACTTCTTGTCTTTTTTTTAATGTAAGGAGTAAAAAGTAGACTGAAAAATAATTACTCAAGTAAAGTACAGATACACAAAAATTCTACTTAAGTACAGAAACAAAGTATTTGTACTTAGTTACTTTACAGCTCTGTCAGCAGTTTTACTCATTTATTATTTCACATGTCATCTTGTACGGACGTCCATAAATTACACAGATTTTTTGCAGGTAAACAAACAAAGAGAAACCTCACAGATTTTTTTTCCTCTCATTTTCTTCCTCAGCTGTCTGAGGGTCCTGTAGCGCCCCCTGGTGGCTGTGGAGCTCTAGAGTTCAGTTTTTTCAGGTGTTTGTGTGTTTTGTTTTCAGGCGTTTGGAGAAGCAGATTATGTGAAGTACCAGGACGCTCTCAGCCAGCTGGCCTCCATGTGAGCAGAAACCCAACCGTCTCCTGACTCGTGTGTTCTCACAGCTCCAACATTAATTCAGTTTCATGCGCTGCCCTGTGTGTTTTCAGGGTGAAGTGTCGAAGCAGCTCTCTGAGCCAACACCACCAGTCCGCGGCCCGGGACCTGACCAACACCGTGGAGCCCGCCGGCACCTCCTCCTCCTCCTCCTCCACCTCCATGACCTCGTCTCTGCAGCAGCGCAGCAAGAAGCCGCGACACTTCCTGGAGCTGAAGAGCTTCAAGGACCACTACAACAGTCTGGACAGCACTCTGTGAGCATGCTGCAGCTGTCTGCCTACACCTGGTGCCTCACAGTATTAAACACTGCCCACCTGTACTAATGCATATCAAACTGCTTTATACTGCAGAGTGTTTTCTGCACTCATCCTGTGTTGTTGCATGTCCAAGTGCAAACCAGGTTGTGTTGATTTGACCAAAACACAAACAGCTTTAGAGGCTATGCAAAGACGTTAGAGACAATCAGTATTTATTGCACGAAGTCCAGGCCTATGCACACATTACTAATTAACAAACCTGTTTAAACAGCAAAAGCATTTATAGCAGTACTGTTTGTGTATTTTTAAATCTTTTTGTTACAGAAGCCAAACTTGTTTTGAAAAGCTGTGATGATGAAGTGCCTCAGTTTCAGCTCACTGCCCTGAATAACTTCAGTTCTTTAGTGTTGAAGCTTTCCTAAGAGGCTTTTTAAGACCTGTTTGTTTTTAAAGTGCTTATTGAACAAGTTGCCATCCAGATAATCGCTGCCTTACAGACTTTAACTGTTCCTCTGCACAGTAAAATGAGCATGATGAAAAAAAGCTTTGTGTTTTTTTATTCCTCAGGTTAAACGGTGCTTACTTCAAGTGTCAAAGGTTGAACCATAAAATACAAGTTTTACCTGTCTGCTGTGGGTTTAAACAGAAAACCTTTGGTCAGGTGTGTTTATGATGGCGTCAAGCCTTCCTCCATGACTGCACATCTAGTTCTCCAGCTCCAAAATAATTAAAGATGGATAAAATTAGAAATATTGGTACTGTTTTTGTCCCACTAAAGCCCCAAACCTTTTAGCTCTGATCACACAGAATAAATGAAGAGACTTGTTACAAACCAGGAGTGTCCTACTTCTTCTTCAAGTTTTACAGCAGTTGACACCCAACTTAAAGGAGCATTACTGCCACCAACTGTTCCTGAGTATGGGTCAAAGTAGTTATGTCCTTACATGATTCTAAAACAACAACACCAACCACATCCTGCAGTAAAGACCTGTTTCTTTTAAAAAGAAAATCAAGGCCCTTATTGAGCTCTACTACTACAACCCAAAATATACTTTAAAGTAAATTTCTGTATCCCCTGTTCCTTCAACCTCTGCCTAAAACTCTCCCGATGGTCACTGTAGACCCTCACATTAAAATCACATGTTCGGTTGTCTCCTGTTCCTGGTAACCATCACACTTGCCTGTCTATCACATATAATGTGTTATTAAGTGTGCAGGGTCCTGACCTGATTCTTAACCAGGAGTGTCCAGTCCATCCTGCAGGCTTTACTTGTTTCCACGACTCACCTCACCTGATTCAGGACTGCAGACGCCTGTTAATCACCTTTCATTCAAGCCAGGTGTGTTGAAGCAGAGAAACATGCAGGATGAAATATTGATGGTGGTCCTGCAGGACCAGGATTTGACAAAACATTTAGCAAACAAATATAAATATCTTTAGTTTTGATCCATTTATGACCACTGTGTCTTTCTGAAACAGTTAAATATGCTATTGAAAAGCTTTTTCACATTTACACTTGTTTTTCCAGCAGCGCCCCCTGGTGGTGGTGTTTGATTCCAACCTCATGTAGTGTCAGTAGTGTCCAGCAGGGGGAGCCCTCTTCGTTAAAATCCACCAGCAGCAAAGTTCTGTTGTCTCTCAGCAAAACCTTTTCTGTTTGGACAGAGCTGTAAAGTAACTAAGTACAAATACTTCTTTACTGTACTTCCGTAGAATTTTTGTGTATCTGTACTTTACTTGAGTAATTATTTTTCAACCTACTTTTTACTTCTTACATTATTTAAAAAGACAAGAAGTATAAAGTTGTTCCTTTTATTTCATTTCTGCTTGTTTTCATTGCAGCTTGTTGTTGTAAAAAATAAAAACTATCCATATAAACTGAGCCTCCTAGATAGAGTGAATTTAACTGTGGTTGAATGAGAAGTATAAATATATAAAACTCTGATAGTGTATTAGTTTGTACACAAACAAATCATGTCACACTCCAGCAGGACAGAATCATTCAAATCAAAGGACTGTACTTAAGAAGTATTTGTATTTCATGAATTATATTCTTACATTTGGCCGCAGCCCTCAGATAGATTTTCATTTTGGGGAAAAGCTTTGTGCAGCCTTGATATATGTATATAAACTGAAACAGCTGGACTAGTGCATCCTAAATTTAACATCCATTCATTCTTTTAATACAACAGTCATTTCTGCAGTTTTTGGGGAGGTCACCTCCTAATAAATGTCCTTACAGAAAATCTAACTGCTCTTTTTAAATTGTTACTTTGACTTTTAATACTTAACTACAACAAATATCACATACTTTAACACTTTTACTCAAGTAATATTCCTAAAGGAGACTTAAACTTTTACCAAAGTCAGTTTTTGATAAAATACTTGTAGGACTCTGCAGGAACTCTGGATATAAAGCAGTTACACCGAGTCACTGAATAAAGAAGCAGGACATTAAACTTTAAAGCATTTATTCTGAAAACCACAGAGATAACAGATTCAGATTCACTTCATACAAAAACAGGTTCTATCAAACAGTACACAGGTTTTTTCTTACAAATAAATAGGAAGGAGAAAACTGTTAGAAGTCATATTCATCATCATTATTAATATTAATATTATTATTACTATATACAAGATGACTTTTTACACAAAGACATGGAGCTGAAATGTCAGAGATGTTTAGAGGAATGAAGCCAGTGAGCATCTTCATATTTCCTTCAGTGTCCTCACAGTTTTATAATTATTTATTATCCAGAGTCAAACATGAAGCTAATCCTCCGTCTTTACACACAGTACTCAGTAAATGGTTAAATTTATATGTGAAACAACATAATGCGTGTTCATACAAACTGTTGGTCGACAAGGATTTAAGGTTGTTTTTGTTTAGTTTTTCTTATTTGCAGATTATTATTGTTTAAAAATATTAATTTTAAGAGACAAAAGGTGCAGATACTTTAAGATTTTTTTCTTCTTTCTGCCGCCTTTTCATTTTATTTGTGTTTTGTGTTTTAATTGTATGTAAATTTATTTTGTTATTTTGAAAGAAACGAATAAAGTAAAAAAATAAAAATGACCTTTCAGCAGTGGTGGGCACAGCCCCACTTACTCTAAACTAATGAAAACTGAGTGGAAGCTAAAGATGCTACATGCTACACGCTGTGTGACACGTCCAGCACTGACTACAAGAGTTTGGATTGAATTTGGGATAAATGGCAGAAAAATGTAAGTTTAACTTTTGTGAATATTTTTTGGGGACTTAAAATTAGCGGAAACTCATTTAGCAGAAGCTAATCGATCCGCTAACAGCATTGAAAGTTAGAAAAAAAGCTCATTCACTAAAAGAGAAGCTTGTTGGGCTACTGATGGATTATCAGATTAGCAGATTAGCAGAACTGTGCCCACCACTGTCACAAGTCAAGTGAACAGACTCAACAGGGAGCCACTTAGCTAATCCAGTCCTAACAGGTCTGAGCAGCTCAGTTAGCATCAGCAGACTGTCGTTTGAAAGAAGTTCATAAGAACATAATGAACTTTGTGCAGAAACTCAGAGCAGAAAGGTTTCAGAGTAAAAACACTCTGCAGTTAGTCTAACGTGTTAAAGCTGGCTGGTTCCCTTCAGAGCGTTAGCTTCAAACGGTTCAGGTGTGGAGGCTCAGCTCTGCTCTGCAGGACAGCTGCTGTCTGACTTCAGTCCTCACTGAGGAGCTTCTCTTTTCTTTCTTTGCTCCTTTCACGACTTGATCTCGATGACTTTGATGTAAGGGAGCGGCTTGGTGGAGGAGCTGGAAGGCTTCAGTGGTTTACTGTTACAACAAGAGAGATTCATTCGTTTTATAATTTAAAACACAAAAACATATGATGACATTCACACAACAAATCTGCATTTTAACTTTCTAAAGTTGAGTCAGTCGTTCTTCAAACCCTCGTATTTACAGTTAACAAGCACCTGTTCTGGTTTACATTTTGTTTTACTTTAAAGAGCGTGTAAAGTAAAAATAAATGTGTGTTCTGAGGTCGTCACACCACAGAAATATGTGTTAATAATCATCCAGCCAAGTCTGAACAATTAAAAATACTGTTAAACTTATAAAATTATGTGTTAAAAGTAATGAAAAAACATCAGTTAGTCTGGAATGCTGGGGGCGTGTCCTCTGGAGGAACTTAAACCACGCCCACGAACCAGAACATTCCTGTAACCCAGGAAACAATGTTTGTTTTCTTTTCCTTTAGAGCAACAGGGGGCGGGGTTATACTGAAGGCAGCTGCGTGACATCACAAGGCTGCCCTTTAAGACACGCCCAAAAAATCCTGAAACAGACACCTTGTTACACAAACTGAATCATATCTCCACTCTTCAAATATCTACTGTTGAGAGAATTTGTACTCATTTACTACAGTCCATTTATGACATTTATAATGTTTAAAAAATAAAACGTTACATTTTACTTTACACGGTCTTTAAACCTTCATGCTCCATTTCTCTATCCTCAATGCTTCAAAATGGACGTCTAGGCCCCTCCCCTTTTGACTGACACCTGATTTGACCAACTGGGTTCTTCTATCAGCTCTCCAGAGCCAATAATCTGTGAGAAGTGACCAACTTCTCAAGGTCGCCGGTTCGACTCTTCGCGGACCAACCAGCCCCACTTTGGGCCCTGGATCTAGGCCCTTAACCCCCCAGCTGCTCCCCGGGCGCTGTAATTGGCAGCCCACTGCTCCACATGTGTGCTCACATGTGCAACGGGTAAATGCAGAGACTTAATTTCCCCACCAGGGGCTCAATACAGTGTATAAAAAAACAAAAAAACAAAACAAAACTAACTTCCTGTTGTGTCAGCCTGGGCTGGATTGACTGTAGAATTGGCCAGTCAGCTCTGAGCTTCATTCTGATGTCACAGCTGTGTAGCCAATCACCTCACCTTTCATTTAATATATAGTTTGAGGGGGTGGGAACTTTGTGTAGCCAATCACAGGCCAATGTTTGAGACTGTTGTCGTTTGTAGGCAGATAGCTCCATCTAGTGGACAAAGCAACGATCAGAAAACGATGTTTTTATATCGTTTTTTGGGTTTTTTTGGTCACTTAACTGATTAAATCTGCTGATAAGATGAAAATATATTTGTTATTAAGTGTTTTGAGTGCTTCAAGACACAGAAGAGGGATTTTTGTGGCCAGGAGAAGTAAAAATATTCAGATAAAAACACTTCCTGTCGGCCATTTTGAATGGATAATTTCCTCATATTTGAGGATAAATATGCATCAAATGTGAATAAAAACAAATATTTTTTCACTGCTGGTGGTTTTATAAGCTGTGTGGAATGTTAATGCTCTGAAAGAAATAAGGATATATTTGTTTATTCTTGTATTTTGGCTGTTTAGTGGTGGAAATGGGCTGAATGTACTCGAGTTGGTATAAATATTTCTGAATATTAATAATATTTTTGATAATTTAATCATGCTGTGAGTAAATATGGATGGTAAAATGTGTTTTGTGCAGTTTTTATCTTTAATTTGAGCCCAGAAGTCTTTCTGTTGAAGCATTTAGAAATAACAGTGTTTAGAAAACGTGTACAGTTTGTACATGTGTACAAAAATGCAAATGAGACATGCTGGATTGTACTATGTCTCAAATATTCATATTTTATCCTACTGTTACCAAATTTGAACTGGTAATAGTTGGGAATTAATATTTTAGCCCAGTAAAAATTATTTCTTAATATCTCATTCCCTTCATGTTCTGTGATACTTTATTAATAAAAAATAAAAAAATTTAGGGAGAAAAATATCATGATTTTTGTGTATTTTTATTTCAATATACTTCATTCTAGCAGTGTTGTATAAAGTACCTCAAAGTGATACTTGAGTAAAAGTACAAGTATCTTGTAAAAATACTCTGGTAAAAGTTAGTCTTCTCTAAAAATATTACTTGAGTAAAAGTCTTAAAGGAGCTGATATTTTTTGTAATTAAAGTATCAAAAGTAAATTTCTGACACAAAATCTACTTAAGTATTAAAAGTAAAAGTACTGAGTAAAAGTGAGCAGTTAGATTTTACAAAATGACATTTATTGGGAGGTGACTTCTCCAAAAACTATATTTTCTAACAGCGTGCAGCTGTGATGGGTTGTGTACAAGCTAATAGTGTGTCAGAATGGTATATATTTATACTTCTCATCCAAACACAATTAAATTCACTCTATAGGAGACACAGTTTATCTGGAGAGGAGTTTATAAGTAACAACTCAGAATAAAACAGGAGTAACAACTTTCTACTTCTTACCTTTTAAAAAATGTGGAAAGTACAGATAATTGTGTAAAAATGTAATGAGTAAAAGTACGCTGAAAAAAATTACTTAAGTAAAGTACAGATACCCAAAAATTCTACTTAAGTACAGTAACAAAGTATTTGTACTTAGTTACTTTACAACTCTGAATCTTACTATGACTGCTGAAGTTAAAAATTCAGATAATTAGCTTTAAAAAGAGACCAAGCTTGTGAATTTACTGTAAAGGGTTCAAAAGCAGTACTTTACTTAGTTTGTGTACTTTTTAAAGCATTTAAGGTATTTTAGGCCTGCAGGTTACCTGGATAATAAGAGTAGTGTTTACCTGTAAACAACCTGGGGGTTGCGCTCAGATGACAGGTAGGAGTTTGACCTCTGCCCACCCAGGTAGTAGTCCATCTGGTCCCTCATCTCTCTGTTCTGCTCACAGAAACAGGTTTTAGAGGAGAGAGAAACTCTGTTCCTGCACTTCAATCACTGCAGAGGTCTTCTGATGGAAGACAGGACCAACGCTCACCTCGGCCTCCAGAAACGCCACCTTCTCCTGCAGCTCTTTGATGAGGCGGTCCCGCTCCTGGATCACCATGCGGGAGTTCTGCAGCTGCAGCAGAGAGTCAGAGGGTCAGTGGGCCTGGAGCTAACACCAGCAGACACGTCTGCAGGCTTCATGCAGCTTTCACTAAGTTCAATTTAAGACCTTTAAGACCATTATTTTAAGACCAAATCAACACTTTAACAGAAACATTCAAATGGTCCCAGAAATTTTATAATAGAAACATTTTATTGCATCACTTTAGTTATTAAAGAATATATAATTTTAATACAAGAACAGTAAATTATTTGACTGAAACGATCATATCTGACTGCTGTGAACCGTTTTCACTGAGTGAAACAATCATTGATATCAAGTCAAGTCTGATGAAAACTGACTTTAACAAGTTTAACAACAAGCAGTGGACCTGACTGAACTTCTGTTTGTTCTGCAGGTAAATAACTCTGTGTGTGGGGGGCTGTGTGTGGGGGGCTGTGTGTGG